TTAGGCTACCGGACTCGTAATCGTGAGGTTGTCGGTGGTCTAGTGGTTAGGCTACCGGACTCGTAATCGTGAGGTTGTCGGTGGTCTAGTGGTTAGGCTACCGGACTCGTAATCGTGAGGTTGTCGGTGGTCTAGTGGTCAGGTTAAAGGACTCGTAATCGTGGGGTTGTCGGTAGCCTAGTGGTCAGGTTAAAGGACTCGTAATCGTGAAGCTGTGGTTCGGGGGTTTGAGCCTCCGCTCGGTTCGACGTTCTGTCCTTGGGAAAGGCACTTTACACGAATTTCCCACTTGGCTCGGTCCTTTCGGAGATGGACGTTAAACTCGGAGGTCCCGCCTCTTAAATAACTTAATAGATAAGATATGATAAGATAATACTTTATTATCCCACAGGGAAATTTTTCTTGGCTGTACAGGACCATAAAAACACATGCAGGTATACATGACAATTCTAAATGATCTATTACTCTCATTAAAATTCAATATGTAATGAGAAGACAAGCTGACAAAATGTACATTCACATCAGATGCATCATTCAACCACAAGCGGGAGTTTAACTGCAAGACTTGTGGAGTTCTATATTACCAAATACTCTACGTTAGTGTGGATAGAGGCGTTAAACCTGTACCGTTTCACCGGGTTCCCACATTCTGCGACACGAGGAAGGCCCAGGAAGTTGTCTCACTAACAAGGCAATCCCCAATGTCCGGATCGGATGCGGGAACAACTTTACTTTTACTCTCTTGTAACACCTGTAATCCTTGACCCTTATATGACCTAATTGTGTTGCGAGTGCCGTAAAACTCTTACAAAAACTAAACGTGTGTTTTTGAACCCCTACCTATGGCACAGGGCTTGGGCTGGCAGGGTAGCCCGGAGTCTGGGTGCAACAGTTGTGAGAGAAGTCTCCGGCAAGCTGCGGCGTCCCCGGTACCCTGGTTAGTCACAGTGTGGTCGTCATCTTGTTGGTATTCCTTGGTGTCTCCTGTAAACAAACAAACAAACAAACAAACAAACAAACAAACAAACAAACAATACTATGAGTATTCCTTTCGGTCACCTGTAGACAAACACTACTAAACATGTTATGACATTAACATTATATTTGACGACCTACACCTTTCTCCACACATCATCGGCACGTTATGAGTCTTTATTTAGGCTATCTTTTTTTAAAGTAGAAATGGATTGTTCATTGTCCCGTTCTCAGATTGTATAATATTTAAAAAATAATATATAATATATAACAATATATCTTCTTC